CCCCCCGATTGTGGTCACAAACCAACAAAGACACACGATAAATTTAGGAACGGAACAGCCAATATCATCGGTGTACTAGCTGTGCGCTTACAACGTCCCTTCCTTTTAGTAGATCTTTCTTCGCCCTTGCGCTTGGGGACGACCCTCTTGCGAACTCGACGACTTGTGCCCCCCTTCTACGCGAACTGCCAAGATAGAGATGATGAATAGTTGAAACAGACGTCGGTGTTAACCTTATTTCTTTTCTATTTTTGTGGTGGCGTGAAGGTGGCGTACTCTGAGGGGGCGATGGGGCCGGAAGCTACTGTGTTCGAGGTGGTCTTCCCGCCTGGACACACGCCGAACATTCTCTTGGAGGAGAGCCAGCCGGGCAATAAGGTGAGTTTATAGAGTATGTATTCAGGTTATCTGTGTAGAATACGTCGCAGCATACTGCACAGCGTTTTCGTTGTCTGTCCGGCGGGAAAGGCGTATGTTGGGTCTTGTGATAGTATGGAGTATATATTTTAACTTATGTTTTTTTGCGTAACATGCTGAATAGTGTTGTCGTTGGTTCTGCTTGTTTTTCGTTCTGTTGGACAATAAAATTGTGGTGGCTGGCAGAATTTCATGCAGAAATCTGTATCTTGAATCACTGATCCGTGTCTGGAGTCTGACTCTGGAGGCATGCATGTGTCAAAATGGTTATACTTATTTTGTACCCGTTCATGTTTTTCCGGTGTAGTGGTCCTTGAACCCAGCAGTTACGGTCGGGCCTTTAACGGTTAATTTTTTTGTTTATTGTGGCAGCTGACGGTGAAGTCTTTCCCGAAGAGGGCGGACGGCAGCAGGGGCACCGCGGAGGCTGACGGTAAGATAGAGAAGGGCGACTTCTTGCTGGCCGTCAACAGCATCCGACTGGAGGGCTTAGGCTTCAACGACGCCATCAGGGTGCTCACAACGCAGGCAAGTCGTCGTCGTTATTGTCGTTCCAGATCGTGCCACCACCTCGAAAACGCTCCAATCAAGAGCTTAAGCCTCGACAAAGAAAGAATCTAAGTCCTACACAAGAACCTTGTGTAGTACCGCGTAGGCGAATCAGAGACGAGGCTCGGCCAGAGTAAGAGGGAGATTGTTATGCGGTGGCGCGCTCTCCGTTGTTGCGGTTGATGGTGTTGGTTGCTGGTGGCAACGGCAACGGTGGTGGCGGTGACCTTGCTGCTGTTGTTGTCGTTGGCGGCAACGGCGGTGGCGATGTGGCGCTCCTGCTGCTTCTTCTGCACTTCTTTGAATTTTTCCATAAGTAGTTTTCTGCTCAGAATTGCGCCGCCGCCGCCGCCGCCGCCGCCCCGTGATACGATCCGCCCGCTCCATCTTGCGTTTGGTCCTTCTGCATCCCCTTGCAACACCAACACCAACGACCAACCAATGCAATGCAACGACATTGCCAGGGTTACCCGCTGTCACTACGGTTTCGCCGCGTGCCGAAGCACCTGAGGGGTCACAATCTCGAGATGTGGTCGGTGAACGCTCTCAGGACCGTCCTTTTGGAAGAGGGTGTTGAACTCACGGTGAGAGCCTTACCCTTACAGTTGTGACTTTTTCTTGTCTTGGTCTCTGTCTCTTAAATGGACTTGTTGCTAGTTTTCTTCTGAGAGCGGGAACGGTAAACGGGATTGAGGATGCATCCATTTGCCGGCACTTATCGTGATTATTTATATGGTCCAGGTTCGAAGTTTCTTTGTTCGGGCTGACCTAACGACGAACTCTTCATTGCCCTGACTCTAAAGGAGCAGGGGTCAAGACCATTCGCTCTATTTTTTTTTTTTCCTAGTACAGTCGAGGGACCCTTTTTGTGCCGGTTGAATAGTGCCAGATGCCCGGTATAGTGCCGGTAAAATCTCTGCACACAGGCGGAGCTCTCAATAGTGCCAGACCGGCACTAATTAAAGCATGCCCGATATAGTGCCGGTTCGGCACTGCTGTCACCCCCAATAGTGCCGGTACTCCGCACGCGCGAAACACACACACGCACAACCCAGGGCAGAAAACATAGACTCCACACACAGAAATAGGGTACACGTGCTGCTGCAGACCCGAACAGCTCTACACAGGGGCGTACCATGCCCTGTGCGGAAGGTGAACTGTGCCAACTACAGGACACCACGCCGCAAGACCCTCATGGTCACGGCTGCCAGGGAGGATGTGGCGGGCGACTGCACGGCATTTGCGGCAGTGTGGTTGATGTAGGCAACGAGAATCACCGCATCTGCAGCGCGTGCGTCGCCAAAGCCGGCAAGCGCAAAGTGTCA